AGAATCAAGAAGCAAGAATTCAAAAAAATGAGGAGAGTCTTAGGAACCTCCAGGACATCTTTAAATGCTCCAACATCCGAATTATAGGGGTGCCAGAAGGGGGAAAGGCACAGCCACCAGTGGAAAACTTATTTGAACAAATAATAAAGGAGAATTTCCCCAATCTGGCAAAGGAATTAGACTTCCAGGAAATCCAGGAAGCTCAGAGAGTCCCAAAGAAGTTGGACCCAAGAAGGAACACACCAAGGCACATCATAATTACATTAGCCAAAATTAAAATGAAGGAGAGAATCCTAGAAACAGCAAGAGCTAAGGGGACAGTCACCTACAAAGGAGTCCTCATCAGACTGTCAGCTGATTTCTCAAAAGAGACCTTACAGGCAAGAAGGGGCTGGAAAGAGGTATTCCAAGTCATGAAATTCAAAGACCTACAACCAAGAGTGCTCTATCCAGCAAAACTTTCATTTAGAATGGAAGGACAGATAAAGTGCTTCTCAGATAAGATCGAATTCAAGGAGTTCATCATCACCAAGCCCTTATTATATGAAATGTTAAAGGGACTTACCTAAGAAAAAGAAGTTAAAAAACATGAACAGTGAAAGGACAGCAAACTCACAGTTATTAACAACCACACCTAAAACAAAAGCAAACTAAAAGGACAGCTAGGATCAGGAGTGGAAACATAGAAATGAAGATCTCAAGGAGGGTTAGCAACAGGGGAGTGGGAGGAGGAGAAGGGGGGAGAAGGTACAGAAAATAAGTAGCATAGACAGTAGATAGAAAATAGAAGGGGGGGCAAGAATAGCATGGGAAATATAGAATCTAAAGGACTTGAGACACATGGTCATAAACTAAAGGGGGGGTAATAGTGGGGATGGGGAGCTAGGGTAGAGGGGAATGAAAGGGGGAATAGAACAACTGTAACAGCATAATCAATAAAAAAATGAAAAAAAAAAGATTTTTAGGATTCAATGCATCATCAGTTTAAATCTATTAAAAACAAATTCTAATAAGGCAAACAATATATGAAATTGTCTCAAAATGTGTTAGCTAATTTTAATTAATCAGTGGATGATATGAATGAGTACCACATAAACCTATCTTCCTCTAATTAGTTTTGTTCAGATCTCAAAGCAATAAGCAGTTAATATGGCTAATTAAACATGTATTCATATGGACTGAGTAGGGACATTAGGGACTTCAGTATGTAGAATAAGCATGTGAATTGTTTGCACTGTTAATTAACTTTTCTGTTAAGGATTTTTCAGAAGACCATCATAAATGATCTATGTTTATGCAAAACACAATGCTAAAGAGAATGGCAGCTTTTTTGTTTAAAAGTTTTAAGGTACAATAAGCAAAGTAAAAATGCTACACTGCTGGATTAATTTGTATATATTTATAGACCCACGCAACCCCACCTAGGTCAAAAGATAGAGCACTTCCAGCCGAAAAAATTACTTGTGCCCCTCCCATTCACAACACTTACCTACCCCTGCCAATATCCTAATTTCTTTTTTTATTAAAGATTTTATTTATTTATCTTTAGAGGGGAAGGAGAGAGGGAGAGAAATATCAATGTATGGTTGCCTCTCATGTGTCCCCTGCTGGGAACTGGCCTGCAACCCAGGCATGTGCCCTGACTGGGAATCGAACCATGATCTTTTGGTTTGCAGGCCCATGCTCAATCCACTGAGCTATACCAGCCAGGGCCCAATATCCTAATTTCTATCATCATAAGTTAGTTTGGGCTCATCTTGAATTTCATCTAAACAGAAATATAATGCAGACCCCCTTGTGCTTGGCTTTCGTTACTCAGCATCTCTGAGAATCATCCATGTTGACCGTGTCAATGTTTTTTTCTCTGTGCGTTGTGTTCTACTGTACAATGTGCCATTATATATCCATTCTCTTGTTGACTAACATTTGAATTATTTCCAATGTGAGTAAATCTCCTGCAAATATTCTTGTACAAGTCTCATGGTGAACATATGCACTCATTTTCCTTGGATTTCTCTTAGATAGATATACATGTAGTAGTGGAAATGAAACACCTGGGTCATACTAAAGGTGTAAGTTTACTTTTGGTAGCTACTGATGGTTGAGCAGTTAAACTACATATACCAGCCATTCATGAGAAACATTTATAAATGTGTAGTGGTATCTAACTGTGATTTTAATTTGCATTTCCCTGATGACTAATGATGTTGAGCATAGCTTATTGAACATCTAAAATAATCTCTTAATGCCCGTTCATGTCTTTTGAAAGGGCAGTATCATTGAGAGCAATTTTTGTATGTTGTCATTTTCTTCCCCAGGTAAATAGATACCTTTAGTCATAATAGGTGGAAAAAGAAATCATAATATAGTTTCCAAGTAGGCTATGGTTAAGAATTAAAAATAAACCATACTAACAGAAGTCATTATATATTAAAGGTAAATCATCATCCATAAGTATTTTTTAAGGTTTTATTTATTTTTAGAGAGGAAAAGGGAAGGAGAACGAGAGGGAGAGAAGCATCAGTGTGTGGTTGCCTCTCACGCACCCCCTACTGGGGACCTGGCCTGAAACCCAGGCAATATGCCCTGACTGGGAATCAAACCAGCGACCCTTTGGTTCACAGGTGAGCACTCCATCCACTGAGCCACAACAGCCAGGGCCATGCATAAGTAATAATAAAAGACCAAACTGGTTTTTAGCACACCTGTCCCAATTTGTTCAATGTTTATTCAATTTATTTTTCTTCTAAGGTAACTATCCTATAGTCATCAAATCCCAGTTCTGAGGTCTAAACATTCATGCTTAAACATGCATATCCATTAAATGTCAATTATACCTCAATAAAGTAGGGGAGGGCAAAAGAGAGAACAAACCCAGGAGCAGAAAGGAGAGGACATCAATCTCACTTATTTTATCTGATGTGTCTTTAACATCTTTCAATATTCCAATTATATAGATATCAAACAAGACTAAAGTCAGCTATTTTATCTTAGAAATGGGAATAGTTGATAAAAAGTCTTGGTACAAAAATTAAAGTTCTCTTTCTATATATCACATACACCATAATCTTTCAACTATCTATGGAGAGATAATCATGGATGATAGTCCTGCTGGACTATCCTTCTTCCTCAGAGTCCTTAACTCTGAGGAAAAAGGAAAGTCAGTGGAAGACTTTAGTCTGGAGCTTTATTTAAGGGAGAGGGTGGTTATCATTCTGGCCATTGAGAAGAGACTGAGTAGGGAAAAGTCAAAAGCAGTGGGGCAGCTATTATAATCATTTAGGCAAGAGGTAATGTGACTTGGACCAAGGTGGTAGTAATGAAATTACTGCTAAGATTTTGGAAGTTTCACCAACAGGATACGCAAGACAGGGTACAGAGTACCTGAGAAAGAAGAACCAAGGATGATGATGAAGTTTGGGCTAAGCATCTGCAAGGACATGGTTGCCAACAGCTTAGATGGGTGAAGCAGGTTTTTGGTTAGGGGAATATGAGTTCAATTTTCAACATGTTTAAGTCTGAGATGTCCATTATATTCCTAAAGGACGTTTAAACAGGCAATACAACATGAGTCTAGAGTTCAAGAAAGAAATATCTGTGAGTTGCTAGTATATAAACCATGAAGTTTAGAGATCCGAAGAGCTCACCCAGGAAGAGAGTATTGACGGAGAAAAAGGGAAGTCAGGACTTAGTCCTGAGGCATTCTAACGTGTAGAGCTCCAGATGAAGAAGGAACTAGTTAGAGTCTGAGAGTGGGAACAGGAAGAAAGGGAGAATAGAACTGATAATCTGAAAACCAAATGAATAAAAGAAACATACCTCTAACACTGCAAATATTCATTAATATCACTGAATGATAGAGCTAGGGGCCTTGGAGATGACTTGACAGGTAAAAACATGGAGGCCAACAATTCCGATAAGTTGCAAAAAGTCAAAAAATCAAATGAATGACATAAGATAAAGTTAGATATATTCCACACTGTTCAATGTTTAACAGTATGGAATACAGGTCAGGATACTAGATCCCAAGAGATGATATGCTGAGGGCGAGGCCTTACTCAGATGTGCTATTAGAATGGTAAAAGAAAACCAAACCCAACCAGCCACTCTTGCCTGTTTATCCAGTTACTAAATAAATCAAATTGCCCAAACACTGAATGTTGTCATTCCTGTTTCACAGTATTCAGGTTCCATCCTTTTCCTTCTCTATTTTAACAAATCAAATACATAACTTACTACTGTTTTTTCCACACTCCAAGTCTTTTTATACCTCTTTGTCTTGATCTTTCCATCCAAATTTCTGAATATACCAGACTCGTCTAAGAGAATCATATAAAACAATTCATTTAATCCTGTCAACAGCCCTATAAAGCAGGTATTAACCCCATTTTTTTCAGATGAGAAAACCGAGGTACAAAGATTAGTAACATGCTCCATACTACACAGCTCAGTAAACTTGGCAGAGTCAGGATTTGAAAGTAATGGGTTCATTTTGAACGTAATGGCTCCAGAGTAAAAATTCTTAAAACACTATATTAGGATTAAATCAGACAAAAATATGCGAAAGCACTATAAAGAATGGTACAAATGAAGATAGCACCTACAAAAGTACTCCTTGAAATCTGAAAACCTAAACTGCTCAATTAACACTTTTCACATTCCACCCAAGTCAGTGCTGATTATTTCAATACTTATTTTTAGCCTTTCACAAATACCTTCTTGAGATAATAAAGAATTTACCAAAATAAATAATGAAGCCCAAGACTTCTCAAGAGATAAAGCTAGCATATGAAATAGACCTAATAAGTCTGTATTTAAATACAGACTGTGATCTCAATCATAACACATTTTCAATTATGTACTTAAGTACATTATGTTTTAAAATTTCCCAAATAAGAGAAACTATAATATATGCGTATGCTTTGAGGCAGTTACACATTAAACACTCTAAATTTAATCTTGGAATTCATAAGGGAGAAGGTAAACTGAAAATCTCTTACCATTGATCTTTCAGGATATCCAAACAAATAGCCCCTGTGACGGAACTAATATTAGGATGCCATATTTTAGTGATAAACCGGACCTAGAAATATAAAGCACACTTGAGTTTTTAAGTAACAGAAGAAACACATATAGTTTAAATAGAACTATGAGTAAGAAGTCCTCAGATTTAAAAAAAAGCATCCATACTTACATCATTTTGCCTAAGCGAAGGGAGTGATGTAGAAGACAAAGCATTAAGTAGTAAGCTAAATGTTGTCACTGATATACACTCTTTTTAACCTTTTAATAAATGCTCCACCTTTAAAGAAACTCAACAATTACTAGGTGTTCATAGACAGTAAATGGAAACTTTTAAGTGTGAAGTAAGGTATAGAATAGTTTGAAGGAAAAAGTAAGCAAAATCCATAGTACATGGAAGCACAAGAAGTGGCTGTTAAAAGACTGTTCCTAATTTCTCTGTAGCAACTTTTTCTCAAAATCTTTTAAAAAAATAATTCGACAAATATTTGAATGCACTGAAGAGACACTGAGGTTTAGAGTTTAAGATACTGATCAAAAACCAAATAACTAGTTAGCAACAGAGCAAAGTGCAAACTCACACAATCAGATTTCAGATTCTGAGTCTCTAGTCACCTATTTGTCTTATCATAAAAAACCAATAAAGTGAAAATGCTAACTCTATCAGATCACCATGAAATGAAATCTAGTTCATCAGTTCCTTCTACGAGCTTTTGGAGGAGGAGGAGGATTATTTTAACTGACACATGTGATAGTCATCTGAGTCAAAAATTCCTTAACACTTATGAGAATAATTACTGTGAGTCAAGCAATGTTCTAAGTACTTAACAAAAATTAACTTATTAATATATGCTCCAAATCTAAGCTGTTTATGGAAAGATGCTAAACAGCTTCCACTTGATTTGTCTATCTACCCGTCTCTACTTCCTCATCTACTCACTCACTAACATATATGCCATTTGAAAAAGCACTTAAGTCACCAATGACTAATGGACATTTTTCATGCCTTGACCCTTTTTATTCTTAAAAGAATCCCAATAATTTCAATGCTATCTACTTCTCTCAGTCCACAGAACCACTATGTCGTTAAAGGAGATTATCATTCTTCACCTGAGTTACTAAACAGTCTGTTGACTTGACTGCCCTAAATTCTGCTCCCTCCAACCTACTCTCCACACTGAAACCAAAGAAAACCCTTTGAAACACATAATTCACATCACCACTGTGCTTAAGGCCCTTTAATGACTTCTTGTTCCCTTTGTGTAAGACCACATTTGTAAACTGGCCCTAACCTACCTCTCAAATCTCACTTGTATTTTGTATTCCATGCATTTGCTCAAAAACTCATATTAAAACAAACAAAAAAAAAGAGATCAAGGTTTTTTGGGTTTTTTTGCCTTTAGGCCTTTAAATAGGTGTTTTCTCTCAATAACACACCTCAACACCCTTATCTGCTGGCTAACTCAAACTTATCTTTCAAGTTTCAGCTTCCACATCACTTCTTCCAGATCTGTTCCCATAGCACCCTGTACTTTCCTGTGTCACAGTATTAATTACACTTCTATAATCTTTTACTTGTGAGGTTTTTCCTGAAAGGCCGGTATTTACCCTACTTACTAGAGCATCACAAATATCTAAAGTACTTCATATTGAATAAATATGCAATTAACATTATGACAAACCCATTATTTTGGACCAAACATTTCCCCTCTCAAATATAGTAAAGGTCAAGTAAGACAGGCTATAGAGAGTTTATGTACAACAAACATTTCTCCACAACAGATATAACTATTCACACCCTAATTTTTACCATTCATTGAATTCAAAATATAATTGTTAGAATTTCAATAACTCACACAACTTTTTGTGACTTTAGAACAAAAGTTGGTTCAGTATTTTCAAATGGATTGGAAAACAGAATTTTAAATCACCACTGATGATGTCAAAAGATTTATGGTTTAGGGAAGTGATCTAAGGCTATGTGAACCATATCCTGCTTTTTAAAGAAGTCTTCAATACATAATTTTCTCTGGACTCCACATAAAAACCAAATAAGCATATTCATGTAGGACCAAGAAAATTATTAAACCATTTCTTACTCTGTACTACACAATTAGGAATAAATAACTTTGGCAGATGATCTAATAAGGAATTTAATTTTCAGGAGGATGTTCCATTATCCACCAGTAAAAATGTAACTTTAGACTTGGGGTTGTTGAACACATAATACAATATACAGAGGATGTATTATAGAATTATACACCTGAAACCTACATAATTTTATTAACCAATGTTCCCCCAATAAATTCAATTAAAAACTAATAAATAAATAAATGTAGCTCTTACAAGTAGTTCTTATGTGGTTTATCACTCTATCCTCCTATTCCTCTCTTCTTTGTTATTCTTTATCATCAACTATCTCCTTACTTATTTCACTTCTTTCTCTACCTTAAGCCTTAACATCACTAGTGGTACCCATATGTATCCCTGAATTATGTCCTATTGTTCCATACCCAATTCACAATCCACCCATCTTATACCAACAAAAATGTAGAATCAAAGGAAGTTGGAAGGGATGAAGTGTAAGAGTTAAGTAATTTGATCACAAAACAGACACAGAATGGTTTAAAATACCAAAACATTTACTGATAACAACTCAACTCTTTACTTTCACAACTGAAATTAATACTAGCATCACTTGGGTAACTTCTTAATATTCATTAACTTTGAGGAGCACTCAAAAATCTTAACACTAGGCACATAGTGTCACCTGACCAAAGTAAAAGGGGACTATTCTTAGTTATTGACATACAGATGATATTGGCAACTATTTCACAGTAAAAAGTAAGCCCATATTTCCATTGGGAATTTCCAGTTCTAAGATTGGAACTCAAGAATATTATGGTATTAAACCATCTTTAACTTACTGTACAAAAGAAAATGCTGTTTTATTTTAAACATGCATGCGCAGATGAACACACTCATTAAAAGTCATAAGTATTGGTACTTACACTCAACTTGACATAGAAAACATACAACACATAAACATAGAAAAGTATGTTTATAACACCAAGGATAAAGAGAAAATTTTTACAACACAATCTCCAGTACCTAACTGGACAAATCATTGAGCTACAGTTTTCCTAATTTAATGGTTTTTTCTTTAATATAGTATCTATTCCAATTTACTCTAAAAATAAGTGACTATATGTATGCAATCAAATTCCTTCCAAATTATATTCAACTGATTCAAAGATATAGAGTCTCCATCTAGAAGTCAAACTTCTGCTCTTTAGGTCAATAATTTACTGCAGAATAATAAACAGAAAATACTCTGAGACCATGTTGAGACAAATCAATGTAGTTTTCGATTTTGTGCAGTTTTAGCTGCACAACAGTGAAAAAAGAATTTAACCAACTAATTTCAGTACTTTTACCCCATAAAGCTTAAAATTAAACCAGAGTTGCTATATTAAACATATACAAACACAATTCAGCATGAAACATAAAAATATTCCCCATTTTTTCCATTACATTTACCAATCAGTAAAAATTTCAAACCAGTATGTACATATCTAGAACATATTTATCATGTTCATTAACATTTACTGCAAAAGCTTAATAGCATAAATGGAATAAGTACTATTTTTAAAATTCTAAATTCCATTTACTGTACAACTGAATGAAGCCAGAGGGAAACAAGTTTAGGTTGACTAAAGAAAGATCTTTCTAAATCTTGAAGCTACCTCAATACAGAATGGCTGAAATAATAGTGGCCTGCAGAGCAACAGGAGTTAGTAGCAAAACATTAGACAGACCTTAGTTCTTATGTTTTGAGTCTATTTTCCTCTTTGAACTAAAGAGTAGGAGTGGTTCTTGGAGCTAGTAAAACAATGATTTCAAAGATTAAATGAAATAATGCTTAAAATAGTGCCTAAAACAGAGCCAAGACTATGCAATCACTTTGAAGCTATAATAAAGGCTGTAGAGGTTGATAATTAAACACTTTTACTTGAGACCATTTAAGTGCACACCCTCATGGATTTTAGTATATCCAGAGTTGTGCAACCATCACCACAATCTAATTTTTTACCATTACTGTCACACCAAAAAGAAACCACGTAACCAACAGAAGCCACTCCCTATTCCTGTACAACCCAGTATTAAACAACCGATCTATTTTTGTCTCTATGAATTTGGTTCTTCCAGTGTTTCATATAAATGAAATCATACAATGTATGGCTTCTTTCATTCAGCATTTTGTTTTCAAAGCTGTATCTTCCTTGTACTACCTCAGTATTTCATTCAGTTTTATAACTAAATAATATTCCATGATATGGATATAACCATTTGATTTATCCATTTAGTTGATAGACATTAGGTTGCTTGCACTTTTTGGCATTATGAACACTAATGGTACAAACATTTTTGTACAAGTTGTTGTGAACATACGTTTGCATTTCTAGTGAAGAGAAACCCAGAAGTAGAACTACTAAGGCAAAAGGTTAACTCTACATTTGCTATTCTAAACAAATTATTTCCCAAAGCACCTTTAACATTATACATTTCCACTAGCAATGTATGAGAATTTCAATTTACAGAGGACATTTAATTGTTAATGCTACTGTATCTTATAATAAAATATTACAGAACAAAACCAACAGATGACTTAAAAAAGGGGTGCTTAAGGTGGTAGTCATTGGTTAATGATAGTTGATATTTCTGGGTGCTTACTGTATGCACACACTGTTCTAAGTATTATTATTTCATCAAATCTCAGGTATCATCACTTATTCAAAACACAATTATTTTATGTACATTTTAAGAAAAACTTTTCCAATTAAATTATGACATACCATCCACTGAAAGATACATCCTGATTTCAGAGGTGTTTAAAATGTAAAAAAAATGTTTTGATTATTTAAATATAGTTCTTTACATGGATTAACTCCTTTAATCTTTACAATCCTATGACAGCACTTTATAGATGAGGAAACCGAGGTACACAGCAGGTACCTTCCTTTAAAATCACAGTAAAATTGCAGAAGAAAGATTTAAACTCCGGTTGACTGTTTTTGTTCTTGGTATAGACAGTCTTTCACCTCAGGAGCATAAAAGCTAGTGAAAGATACACACCCCCGAATAATACATTAACTGATTCTGTATTTGTTCTGGTACTATATAAATTATATAAAATGCTCCTCAGAGCAGGAGAAACAATCTGATGGGCACAGCTTAATAGAGGACGTGATACTTACACAGACCTCAAAAGAAAAGTAGAATTTTAAATGACAGAGACAACGATTCAAGGGAAAATGATAGAAGAGTGTGAAAGAATAAGCAACATCTACAAAAAGCAAATAATCTAAGCTGACAAATGAGTTCCATGTTGTAGATGAGGGTGGCAAAAATTAGAATGGAAAAGAAGATTGAGGTCAGGTGGTAGGAAGTTTAAATGCTCAGCTAAGGAGTTCTGACTTTATTAACAAGAAAGAAAAAAATGATCAAAATGGTTCTTTAGGAAGAGTTACAGAATGGCGGTGACAAAGATAAAGGGTGATAAATAATAGACAAAACTGGGAAGTAATAAAGTTAAATGCCTAAAGTGAGGATAACAAAAGTAAAGACATAAAAGAAGCTGTTCAGTCAAAAATGTTTTAGTTCTCCTTGTTATATGATTCTACAGCATTCCATTCCTCTTTTAACACACATCACAGTTGCATTATTTGTTCTTTTTTTTTTCCTGCTAGAATGAGAGCTCCATGAAAACAAGAGCAGTGTAACTCTTGTTTATTGGTATATTGCCATGTAGCACTCAAATAATTGTTGAAAAAATTCAGAATACACTCTTCCCTAAAAAATGTACTTCTTTGAGGAAAGTAAGAATGTGTATAAGAGTTTCCTATATCTAGGAACACTGCAAGGTTTTCCAGACTTAGATTTTAAACCACTGTCAGATGCAAATCTTATTATTTCCCTCTAGAGCCAGAATTAGCTGCCTCTGAGTGAGCTTGCTTTTCATAATTCTAGAAGCAAACCATTTTTCTTCACCTGAAATCTGTCCACACTAAATGGACATATCAACAACTCAAAACACTGTAATTTTAATAAGCACTAAAATACATGTTAATTAAATGGACCAAGAGAAGTATTTCAGAAGTTCATGCATGAAAATAGGCTTACAATACCTTAGGGGGATTAAATGGATATGTTTCTGGTATTTTTATCTCTAGTTGGTATCTTCCTCCTAAAAAAGGGGAAAACAGAAAGTTAAGAACACTGCTCATCTCAAATCAAATATGTAAAGCCAAATATTGTGATAGAAGTTTCCAAAACATGTATTTTATATACAATTACAACAAATTCACTTTAAAGTTGAACCCAAAAAGGAAACAATCCGAAGCACTAGCTTTTCATTTAAAGATTACTTAAAGCATACAGAAGACCCATTTTATACAAGTGTATTAGCTTATCAGTGAGTAACAGGACTAGACATAAATATATTAAATCCAGACAGTCCAATGCCAAGGATTTCATTGGGATAATAAGTAGTATAGACTCTGTCTCCTGTTATTTCCTCTACACCACATTGACAAGCACTGCTAAATAACAGGAGGAAAAAAAACAAAGGGGAAAAGAAAAACCAGAAAGAAAGCACGGAGGTATAAAGGCATAGATGGTGTAAAGGAAAAGGATATACAGATTATGCCATAAACTGAAAAAAATAGAAATCTACTTCTAGCAGGTTCTCTCAAATGTAAAGATGTTTCAAACTTTTAACTTGTGCCCTAAATTAAATGCCAACACTGCTTGTTAAAATTTTAAAAATCAAATCCAACAACTCTGGTCTAATGAAAAAACTATTCTCTGCCTCTAAACGGGTATACAAAATGCAAAACTTTATGAAGAGATTGTTCTAACCATAATGTATAAATAGAGGGCAACATTTTGTTTTGAAGTTATCCTAAGCAACTAGCAGCTATATTCATATTTTTTAAAGTTTATCTAGCTTCCTATACCTGGAAGGATAACTGCCTCTCAGGGTGTAAAAGGGGTAAGTCTTGCACTGAATGAGAAGCTGGATTTGAATCTTAACTCTAAGGAATCTTCCAATTCTAAAATTGTATGATTCATTAACAGAGAATATTCACTATTCTAAAATATAACCAAATAAAACTGTGCTACCAGAATATTTACATATGAAACTATGCCTGGGATCTGCACCAAAATAATTAAAGAATGATCATATGGAAGACTGGTTGTGAGTTGACTGTCTTTCAAACTGGCCAATGATTACATGGAAAATTCATTATACTATAAAATCTGAAATTATCCATAATAAAAACAAAATAAAAACTATGTGCTAGGAGCAATATTCACTTCAAAATTCCATACATTCGACTCTCAGTAAATCCTGAATTCTCTCATATCCTCCTTTTCCATTGTTAGCAACAGACAGATGAATGTGGATCTGGGAGAAAAACAAAAGAGCAATTCTCTGGGAACCACTTTCTTCAAACCATTTTTGTTTCCAATTCTTCTTTTCTTCCTAATTCTTTTTAATAGAATACTGAAGTGACTGATGCATGATTTGAACTGAATCACAGTTGCCTGAATCACAGAATGTATGTAAGTAGTGAAATATAAAGAAAAGTAGCCAAAACAAAAGAAACAAAAAATAAGACAGATAAAAGACAAGTACCTGAAGAAATTTTGTGAATACAGAGATTAACTGTTTAGGTTCAGTTATAAATGTTAGCTTCAAATATAGGCATAATAAATTTGGTCTGAGAAATACATAGGTTCTTTTCCTTCCTAAGAACCATGTTTTTCTGAGTAAGTTCAGACTAATGTCTCTATAATCTTTCACATAAAGATCTTCCTTCTTGAATGTTCAAAAATAATCTATGAAGAGCAGTATGAGAACCCTGATATAAATAGTGCTGAACCCTAGAGTTCCCCCAATCCTATTTCTACTCCATATGCTATTAATACACTCTGTCCTGAATTACTATCTGGTAACTTTGAATATATAACCACCATAGCATTATTTGATATATATGATAGCAACACAACTAAGGCAGCTTTATAACTACATTATTCATATTATAACAGCTTTCCCTGTAAAACATTTATTTCTTGAATAATAGCTTTTATTTTAAAATTTATAATTTTTAGCTTAATACAAAGGGATGAGATTTTTTAAAATATCAACAATTCCATAAACTCAAAACAATTCTTAGGAAAAAGAATTAAGAATTAAATTGTTCCTTTCTCAATAAGTAATTATGACAAAAAAAAAGAGAATTAAATAAGATGTGCAATAAAATAATTTTTTCATGGGTATTCTACTTCTGAGATTTGGAAAAAAGAACAAAAACAAAAAGATGTGAAAACTAGAAAGAGCCCTGTAACAAATATTTATACATGTTTACATTTTTTTAAAAGTAGTATCTAAGTTTACGCCCTTGGATAATGCTTTTCCTAAACAAAGTGAACAGCTTCTCTACAACAGTTTTATGATAGAAAGAATACAATGTAATTAATCCATCTCAAATATATACCCCAAAAAACATATTAAAACTAATCTTATCAAACATTAAAGTCTCATACAGTGGCAGCAGTAGAAATAAGCACTTAAAATCCACCAAACTTGTTTCTAATTAGCAAAGGGTATGGCATGTATAACTTAATCATCTTACAAATAATGTATAATGTTCCAATTTTAAAACTATCTACCTCTTATCCTGCCTCGTGTGGCTCAGTGAATTGAGTACCAGCTTGAGAACCAAAGGGTCACTGGTTCAATTCTCAGTCAGGGCACATGCCTGGGTTGCAGGCCAGGTCCCCAGCAGAGGACGCTTGAGAGGCAACCACACATTGATATTTCTCTCCCTCTCTCTCTCTCCTGCCCCCTCTCTCTAAAAGTAAATAAATAAAATCGGTTTTTTTTTCTTTTTTTTTTTTAAATAAATAAAATCTTAAAGATAAAAAATCTACTTCTCTTAAAGGCTGCCAAGAAGGTAATAAACATTCTGCTTATTTAATTTAGTTTAGAAAGTACCTTATTTATATGCATCGATTTGCTGAAAGAGCTCTAAAATAATAATGCTTCTGCCCTACTGTCTTTTAAAATACATCTAAACAATCTAAAAAATAATTCAGGAAGTATTTACAACAATGCCTGCTTTCAGGAAGAAGCTAGTATGGTCATCCCTAAATATTTGGTCGTCCCTCAATATCCGCAAGGGATTGGTTCCAGGATGTACACACATGGCCCACCTCCAACCCCCATGGATACCAAAATCTGCAGATGCTTGGGTCCCTTAAATAAAATGGGATAGTATTTGCAATATAACCTATATATATCCTCCCTTATGCTTTAAAACCATCCCTAGATTACTTGTAATACCTAAACCAATATAAATGCTACATAAATAGTTGTTATACTATATTGATTGTTCAGGGAATAACAACAAGAAAAAAAATCTGTACGTTTCAGTACAGACGCAACCATTCACCATACATCTAACTACACAGTAGACATTATAAACAATGTAACATTTGTCCCCAAAATACTTTCATGTAAGGTTGGTTGAACCCACAGATTTGAAACCGGCAGATAAGTAGGGTCAACTGTATATCATTATGTACAACACCTGTATTAAGTCAAGAACCTGATTTCTGTAAGATATCTAAAAAATCTATTGTCCATCTAATGACTGTCAAAGGACTAAATGAATAGCTTCCATGAGAGCATCCAAATGAGGTCTAGCATACAGGAGGCACTCAATAACTAACATAAAAAACTAAATGATGGCTAAAAATGGCTCATATGAACTATAAAACAAAATAAAAATTCATTTAATATTATTAAAGAAATTTTGGGGTCTTTAAAATTTGGAATAAAAACAGGAACATATTTTAGAATATTGAATTCTTGTGAAAGTTTAAGGTAACTATTCATTATAGAATTACAGAACCACCACATTCAAAATAAGCATAACCATCACTTCTACTATTCAGTAAATCCTGACTCATTCAAAAGCAGAAAGTAATGGTAAATACAGGCTTTGAAGTCAAAGGCTGAGACTGAAATCCCAGCTATGCCATTTAAGATGTTTGACTTTAGATAAATTACTTCTCCGAGCTTAAGGTTAATCTATGAAACAGTGACAACTATACTTACCTCATAGGGTATGTTGTAAGAATTGAATGAGAAAACACATGTACAGCTCTAATAAGTAAAACCTCCATAAATGCTACTAATGCAAATTGTTACATGATTTCTATTAAACAAATATTTGAATGCCTATTATATGCAAGAACCTTGGTTATACTACCCAACCCAAACTTATATAACTGAAGATTTACATAATGAGGAAATAAAAGCTATAAAACTTCTTTCTGTATCTTACCACCTGATTCCATGGTCTAAAGTAGCTAGAGACTTAGTTTATAAACACTAAGTTCATCAAAGCTTTCTCCTTTCTTTTCTATGTCTTACAACAATCACTCAAAGCTTTTCTAAATTAAAAAGAAAATCAAATATTTAGAATACAGCCTGTATGAAAACATATGAGTGAATGAAATCCTAAATGACAAACAGGGGAGAGAAACTTAAAAAAATAATTCAATATTTTTATCAGAATTAAGGCAAGGCTTATTATAGAGACCATATGAAGGGTAACTGAAAGTATATATAGTCCATGTAAGTTAAAGGCTTAACAGATATGTTTTATACTATTAAATTCTAACCTATATAACCTGTTAACTTGGCTCTACTAAATCTATTTTGGGAAAGAAAAAAGTTAGCTAAAATTCGTTAAGAAAAATCCGTTTAGATAAGTATCTATTCTAATTATTTAAAAACTGCTGTATATCCTAAGCCAAATGAAGTTACCTTCTATGTAATTTATAATAGATGCTTCAGGTTATTCTGATTTAATGTTTCAGACAAGTTCTAATACCCACAATATTTTGATACAGAAAAAAGTACTTGCCTTCATATGGTGTGTCTGGAGGTCCTGCTATTTCTCCTCTTAATTCTGTAAAATTCTCATCTACAAGATCTACTTTAATTTGATTTTTGCTCGTCTTAAAAATAAACAGAAAATAAATGTTAGTTATATCAGCAAGAAAAAAAGCCTATTATAAAGTATTACCTATAAAAAATTTTGAAACCCACTCTTTCATTAGCTTGGTAATCTGCTCTAGTAAAAATAAGAGTCTGTGTTTTTCTATACTTAATTAGCCAGTTTTAAGAATATTTAAAACACAAAAAAACTAACATGTTTTCACCTCAATGTTTTTAATTAAATAAAACCGCTATGAACAATAAATAGTACAATGGCTTGTCAACTTTACAGGAATGCTTAGAGAAAAAGAGTAGACACTTATTTTATATTTGCCAACTTCATGTATGTCAGGTCCAAAGTGATAAATAAATCAATTCATTTGTAGATGAACACTGATCCTATACCCCCAGGTTACATGGGTTCTATCCATGTAAACAGAAAATTTAGGGTCAATAAAAGCCATTTAGGCCATAAGTTCTCATTTGAACAAAGCACAACAACTCTATAGATGTTTAGGGTAACCAAAACACTACACTATCCACCCCTCTAAGTATCCCATTAACTTCCCTTTCCATAAAAATTCCTAAAGCCTACACGCCTCACTAGTATCATCTAATGCCTTCTTCAATTTCTTTTTCTACCTAGTTTACTTCAATGGCAACGACCTAATTTCAAAACAGATTTTTATTTAAAATTTATATCCATCTACTTATTTTAGACTTTATCTTATTTCTCAAAGTACCTTCTTACCTACAGTATCACTTCAATCTCAATGTGTTCTCAAGTCAACAGTGATTCAGAAACCCTCCAGTGGGGTTCCCATTAATGTTCACAAGTACTCGTCTGCAAATGGCTCTCCATTTATATTTTCTGACCTATACTAGTACCTTACAGGTCTATATTCTTTGTAGATTATCCTCCTCTTTTCTCAATTTTTAAAAATATAAAGACTTGGTATATTATATATTCATTTTTTTTGTTTAGAATTTCATTTTTACCTAAGTAACACAACATATCTACTCTTATGAAAGAAAGCCTCATAAGATTTTAAGAGTAAAATTTTGCTTCTGAACCTATCTTCTTAAACTGGCTTCCTCTACCCACTCCAAAAGAAGATACTACTTTTACTTTTTCTGTACTAAACAGTTTCAGTACAGAAAAACATACAACTTAAAGCCTAAATTTAAAAATTTTCATGACGTCTAATTAATTTTATCTTTCAATAAGAACATAGAACAAAAAACTATGCATTTTAAAATTAAATATTCTAATTAGTACTGGTTTAATCTTTTTTTATATTTGGATTAAAGTACTATTTTATATTTGTCTGAAGATAATTTTACCCCCAAATTAAAATTAATTATGAATATGCATAACTGGAATTTTTTTCCTGTGCCCTACAAAAAGTCATTATCACCTTGGTATTTGTGGTAGAGGATTAAATGTACAATTTTAACAATGGTAAAATATTTTGTCCAGTATGCACAGCAATTAATGCTAAAATGAAAATCAGAGGCACCAGACCAATTTACAAGAAGCCACAAACTATAACTACAGACTTCCATTTCTCCTGAGATTTCTAAGTAAAACAAGAATAATCCGATCTTGCAAATCATCGATGCTTTCAAAGTTCTCTACTGCTTTCCATGACACACCTTAACCAAAAAGAAGTAAATAACCTCAAAATTCGAAAATACTGAGGAAAGGATTAGATTCAAGTTTGGGGAAAGGGAGGAAGGAGATAACAGAAACTAGAAAAGCTGACTTTTAGGCCCCAGCTAGGTAGCTCTGTTGGTTAGTGTCCTGATACACCAAGGTTATGAGTTCAATCTCCAGTCAGTGCGCGTACAATGAATGCGTAAGTGGAACAAGGTAATGTTTCTCTCCCTTCCCCTCTCTTTCTAAAATCAATAAATTAAAAATAAAAGCAAGGTTCTTTTTAGATTGCCCAACTGTGGTTAGTAAAATGCTAAATAAACGATTATTAATTTTTATATCCGTCTTAATTTTTGTCCTCATTACCCCCAAATTATAATGGAGAGAAAAGTGGGTCTTCTTTGACTCTGAAAAATTTACTGAAGTATTCAAGAAAATATAATCACCATGACAAAAATCCATCATAAAAAAGGATTCTATAGAGTCTAGATTAGGTCTTTATCTGCTGATGATAACCAAAGATAAAAAGAAAATAGAGAATTAAAGATGGATTTTTCAAAGCCTAATTTTTCCATTTACGACAATTATTTTTTATTACTTCCACAGTTTAATTCAAGCATCCACAATCCTGTGCCCTCACAAACTAATTCAAAATTCCACTTAAGACTCAAATTCCACTTAAAATCCCATTTTGGCATCAGACAGACGTGAACTGAATCCTAGTTCTGCCAATTATTTGTGGTGTTAATTCAGGTCAGTCATTTAACATCTCTCAATTTTATTATTATAAAATGAAAATACATTTCAGCATTAAATGAGAATCTCCCAGATAAAAGTAGGAGATGTTCATCTAACAACATTAATTACAAAAAATGTTTGGTTTTGCCTTATTTTATAAAATGTATTCACAGTTCTGTTTCAGTGTAACAACAGAAATGTAATTTCTAAAAATAAATAACAAAATGATGTGTTAATTATTTATCTTAATGAATGCAACAACCAGGGAGGCTAACAAAATCTTTTGGATGACACCTTGAAGAACTGTGTTTGGTTTCACTGCACTATATTTTTTTGTGACAACAGCTGCAAAATTGCTTTTCTACACTTCTCCCAACTCAGCTCAACACACAGTGAGACCTCTGGTAGCCCTGATTTTTATAATGTTCCCTTGTGGCTCCAATGCATTTCTAACACATAAAAATGAAAAGACATGAATAGAAACTACAGCTCCTTAATAAACATTTTAAATTATGTAAAATTTTATTAAGATATAACATATAAAATATGCAAAATAGCACACAGTATTGAAGCTAATCTGAATGTGGTAAATAAATGAGCACACAACAGTGAAGAACTTAAAGCAATTTTAATAGATTTCTAATGCCAAGTCTCTTGATGAATTGGTATCACCATCACAAAAATCTTTCAAGTACTTCCTGGGGTCTACTATAGGCCAGAAAGCAACTTCAAGTGTTAGAGAACAAAATTAAGTTCCTGCCCACTGGGAGTTTACATTCTAGTGGGATAAACTGAAAATTAAAAGACTTTATCATATAAGCGCTAAGTATAAAGTACTTTTTGTTTAACTCATTTAAAACTTAACATATGACCTTGAGTCAGTTACTTAATCACTCTGTACAATACCTCAGTTTCATCCTCTGTCAACTGGGGGTTAAAGCAGTACCTACCGCACACACAGTTTCATGGGGGGGGGGGATTCGGCGAATTAACGAAGTATACAGAATGATGACTGCCACACAGTAAATGCATTAAACACAGAATGTTTAGTAGCCACTTCACACTGTAACATGTTGCCTTTCAATAATGTTATAGCAGAAAACTCCCACCTAAAGCAAATATTATTTTTAAAGGCTAATTTATCACATTAGTCTGACTTCTACTTATTACAGAAATTTGTTCTAAAATAAAATTCAAATTCAAATTTCAGGTAAGACAAATATAATTCTAAATGACACCTAAAGTTACAGATGTTTTATATGCTATAAAGAAACGATTTCTTCACTAGTCAAATCACAACTACCAATATTTAGGGTCACTGCTCATCACAATCATGCAAATAATTGTGAACTTCAACTTCCAGATTTGCTGAAAATGAGACTTAAAAGGTTTAACAGTTGCCACAACTTAATATAAAATGACTTATCTTTCTCCTGCTACTCCAAGACCAAAGAAATAAAGATTTCTACTTTTTTTTAAATAAAAGATTTTCTTTATTTATTTTTAGAGAGAGGGGAAAAGAGGGAGAAAGAGAGGGAGAGAAACATCAATGTGTGGTTGCCTCTCACATGGCCCCCACTGGGGACCTGGCCCACAGCACAGGCATGTGCCCTGACTGGAAATCAAACTGGCAACCCTTTGGTTCACAGCCCATGCTCACAGTCCACTGAGCTACACCAGCAAGAGCATATTTCCACCTTTTAAGCAGTTAAATTAAAATGTGCTTAGAAGCCCTGGCTGGATAGTTCAGTTGGTTAGAGTGTCATCCCACTGTGCCAAGGTTGTGGCTTTGATCCCTGGTCAGAGCGCATGCAAGAAGCAACCAATGAATGCATAAACTGCATAAATAAATGGAACAACAAATTGATGTTCTCTCTCTCTCAAATCAATAAATAAAATTAAAATGTACTTTCTAAGAGCTTGGGGCATGTCATATTCCCAAAGGAGGGTTGACATAAAAACTGAGAGACTAGAAGGACAGTGGGAAACTGAAGGTATAGATAGGAACACATTTATGGTCCTTACTGAAAATAAGATCTAGACCAGTGGTGTCCAGTAGAAATATAAGGTAAAATACAAATGTACTTTAAAATTTTGTAGTAATCACATTAAAGAGTACAAAGAAATAAGAAATTAAGCCCTGGCTGGCATAGCTCAGTGGATGGAGCACAGGCCTGCGAACCACACGATCGCAGTTCGATTCCCAGTCAGGGCACATGCCTGGGTTGCAGGCCAGTTCCCAGCAGGGGACGCACGAAGCAACCATATATTGATATTTCTCTCCTCTCCTTCCATTCCTCTCTAAAAATAAATAAATAAAATCTTAAAAAAAATTAATTAATTTTAACATGTTAATCTCAATATATATATATATATATAAATTACTACCATTTTAACAAGTAATCAGAATTAGAATTTGAGATTTTTTTTAAAATACCAAGTCTTCGAAATCCTGCATATAACTTACAATTATAACTCATTTTCAATCTGGACTGCTCACATTTCAAGTGTTCAAAAGCCCTGTGGATTTGCCTATGTGACAGGCAAATCCATAGATATAGAAAGTAAATTATTAGTTGTCAGGAAAGGCAGGAGGAGGGAGAATTTTCCAGGGTGATGAAATAT